TGGCAGTGAGTTTGGGTTTTATTTATTTGTTTTGGTTTTCTACTTAACTTGAATTTGCTTGTCTTTTTATAGCTTCTTAAGGGAGAAAACTCAGATGATTAATTATGACACCCTTCTTTGTAACATAAGAGGCTATAAAGCTATGCATTGCCCTCTGACACTGCTTTAGTTGCATCCCACAAATTTTGATACATGGAATCTTCACTATCAGTTCAAGATATTTTCTGATTTCCCTTGTGTCTTATTCTTTGACCTGTGGTTTATTTTAGAAGTGTGTTTTTAAATGTCTAAATATTTGAGTTTTGCTAGATATTTTACTGATCCCCAATTTTATTTCACTTTGATAACATAGAGGAGATCTGGTAGCATAGTGATTTAAGCATTTGACTGCTAATCAGAAGGTCAGCAGTTCAAACCCACCAGCCACTCCACAGGAGAAAGACGAGACAGTCTGCTTCTATAAAGATTGACAGCCTTGGAAACCCTATTGGGCAGTTGTACTCTGTCCTCTAGGGGCACTGTGAGTCAGAATGGACTCAACAGCAGTGGGCTTGGTTTGGGCTTTGCGTCCTTAAAGTTTACATCCCTGGAAACCCTGTGGGGCAATTCTACTTTGTCCTTAAGGGTCACTATGACTTGGAATCAACTCAGTGGCAATGGGCGGGTGATGAAGCATAAACTCTCTGTAAAAGTTCAGTCTTTTGAAATGTATTAAGACTTATTTTGTAACCCACAATATGGGCCCAAAAATCCACTGTCATGGAGTTGATTCTGACTCATAGTGCCCCAATAGGACCGAGTAGAACTTTCCCACAGGGTTTCCAAAGCTGTAAATCTGTACAGAAGCAGACTGACACATCTTTCTCCCGTGGAGCAGCTGGTGGGTTCAAACTGCTTCCCGAACACTTAACTCCTGCACCACCAGGAATACAACCCATCTTAATGATTATAGCATGTGCATTTGGAAAGAACGTGCAAATTTTGGTTGTGGTGTTCTGTACGTGTCAGATCAATGTGGTAGACCTTGTCATTCAGTTCCATATTCTTATTATACTTTTGTTTACTTCTACGAAAATTGCTGAGAGAAGGGTATTTAAAGCTTTAATCATAATTATTTGCCTATTTTTTCTTTTAGTTTTGTTAGTGTTTGATCCATGTATTTTGAAGTTGTATTATTAGGTGCATACATATCTATAATGATGGTGTCATTAAATTACTCTTTATCCTGCTAATATCCCTTGTCTTGCAGTCTATTTTGGCTATCATAGCCACTTCAGCTTTCTTATGGTTGTGTGACCTGTCTTTTTCTATCCTATTATATTTTCCACAAGAAGCCCTTGTGGCATAGTGGTTAAACGTTCGACTGCCAACCTAAAAGTTGGTGGTTCGAACACCAGCCACTTCATGAGCGAAAAATGTGGCAGTCTACATCCATAAAGATTGACAGCCTTGGAAGCCCCATGGGACAGTCCTACTCTGACCTGTAGGAGCACTGGGAGGCGGTGGGTTTGGTTTGGGCTTTGCTTTCATAAAGATTAACCAGAAAAACCCAGCTCACTGCCGTGGAGTCAAATCCGACTCATAATGACCCCTCCTTGGGCTTCCGAGGTGGTATCACTATGGAAGTAGATTGCCCAACCTTCCTTCTGAGGAGCGGATGGTGGGTTTGAACCGCCAGCCTTCTGGTTAGCAGTCAAATGCCTTAGGCACTATGCCACCAGAGCTCCCCCGTAAAGATTACAGCCTTGGAAACCCGATGGGCAGTTCCACTCTCTCCTATAGGGCCACTGTGAGCCAGAATTGACTCAGCAACTTTTAAAAATTATTATATTTTCCAAATCTATTGCTCCATGAAATATGAATTCCATGTATCACTCTCTGTTTCATAAAGTGCTCTCACAGATGCTCACTGTCTGAAATGCTTTGGATATAATTTTTCTATATTTACCATGGGATATCATACTAAGGAGTAAGTCATTCACTTGAGAAAAATGCCTGAGTTGTTGATGACACTTAAATATGATAGCAGAGCTATGTCACAGGAAGCTCTTATTCCTCATGTACTTTTCATTATATGTTGACAGATGCCATCAAATTGATTGTGTCTCATAGTGACCCTGTGTGACAGAGCAGAGCTGCCCCAGACACAGGGCTTCCCAGGCTGTACTCTGTGTGAAGGCAGGTCACCAGGCCTTTCTCCCCCAGAAGCCACTGGGAGGGTTCAAACCACCAGCCCTTCAGTAAGCAGCTGAGCTCTGAACCACTGCACCACCAGGGCTCCTTCTCCCATGACCCGTCCATTACGCGCAAACGCCTGCCGTAAGTTATAAGGGCCCCACCGGCCTGTGGTGATTTTTAGAATTTGGTGCCAACTGTGTTCGTGACTTCCTGAGCTTCACCAGCACCGCCTTCATTATTGCAGACCAAAGAGTTGGGGCCGTTTCAGTTTGTCTTTAAATATCAGCAGCTCCATCTCCTAATCGTTTCCGTTGCCCCTTCTGGTCTTTGCCAGTCTTCACGTTGGTGAGACAAGGCCACAGGAACTACTTCCTGGATCAAAGACCTGTGCACCTCATGACTTACAATCCAGACACCCGGATTTTCTAAGCAGCTTCCAAAACCACGGCACTTTATCAAACCCAAATTACATAGACCCGGGTCGGGAACTACAGCCCATGGGCCTAATCTGGCCCACCACTTGATTTTGTACATAAAGTATTATTGGGACACAGCCAGGATCATTGGTTTAAGTCCTGGCAGTGACTACTTTGCAGTACCATGGCAAAGCCTAGTAGTTAAATAGAGACAATATGGACCTGTTGCTTGTCACCATCAAGTCGATTTTGATTCATGGCAACCCCGAGCGTGCAGAGCAGAACTGCACTCCATGCGGTTTTAAAGGCTGTAACCTTTGGAAATAGATCACCAGCCCTCACTTCCGAGGCCCCTTTGAGCAGCTTTCAAACACCAACCTTTCAGTTAACATCCAGCATGTGGCTGTTTGTGCCACCCAGGGACTCCATCTATATGGACCATAAGCCTAAAACGTTTACGCCTTTGCCAAAAATATTTGCTGACCCCTAGGAGCTCTGGTGGCGTAGTGCCTAAGGCATTTGACTGCTAACCAGAAGGCTGGCGGTTCAAACCCACCAGCCACTCCTCGGAAGTAAGGTTGGGCAATCTACTTCCATAGTGATACTGCCTCGGAAACCCAAGGAGGGGTCTTTATGAGTTGAGCCTGACTCAACGGCACATCCAGACAGCACATAACAACAACAACAACAGTCTACACTGTGTAAGTTCTACAGTGTGATAAACTTAGCACCTGGTAAACTGTGTTGAACTAGGGAGCACGGTAACATGAGAACTCCAAGTCTTACCAAATAACTGGCCTTCCAGACAGGCTACCTGGCCCAGGTGAGCAGAATGTAGTCTCCCTGCCCACCCCCAACTCTTCCCCAGACCCTCCCTACTTAAATAACACTGAGACTTTGGAGAAAAATGGTTTCTGCCTGTGGAACAAGGAGCTGACCCAGTCGAGTCAGCTTCTCGCTTATCATCCCTGGATTCTTTTCACAAATCGTTCTAGTCACGTGATTTCCTCCTAAGATCACTGACATGACCCCCTCATGGCTTCACATAGGAACAAAGTGGTGCATGGTGTGCTGATGGGCCTGATTTAAGCCTTTAGAGAAAACTCTTAAACAAGAGACTCCAATTAAGAAACTTCCAACAGAATAATTCCAATGGTCAGTTCTATCAAAAAGAGAAACTTGGATATCCAGGAAACAGATGATTGGAAATTCACAGTCTCCCCCTTTTGAAAGAGGAAAGGAATGGGGGAGGTGTCGGTCTAATACTTTATTTAATGCCCCAGCCAACCTCCATGTGATGCTGAGGACATCTAGTGGTTGATGAGAAGAGAACTACGTTGTGCTCACATGGGACAAGCATGGGCTGGTGGTCCTGGAAATTACCAGAGACATTGAGGAGGAGGAGAGAGTCAGGGGGCTCAGGGCATGTCCCCCTTCACTCGAGATGAGATTAAACCAGCACACCCAGAGTCAAACACTCACACACCTCTCCCTGTTTTCCTTGGGCAAATTATTTTAATGTATGATCAGGCTTTTGTTTACATTTTAAAAAGAAGGCATTCGTTCATTTTTGGAGCTAGAAGCTTTGGGGGCAAGCACTGAATGTATAAAAACGTCTAGCAAGGTCGGCTGAGTTCTGACTCAGGGCTGGGCGCTGTACTGACCAGCGGTCCTGTGTGCTGAACAGTTCAGGCCTCACCACGCCCCCTAGAGGCAGGAGCTGGAGAGATTCTATAGGTGGAGAGGCCACCTCCCTTCTGAACGTCTGTTTATCTGTTTAACTGCCATGTAAACACTCAAGGTCACCAGCTGCTTATTTAAACGTGAAGAGAGTTTGATCTTTACTGTTTCCACAGAATGAATTTGTATTCTCTGCCGCTTTGTGCAGGTGCCAGTTGAGTCTTTTTTTTTAATTATATATTTGTTTATTGTGATTTGGGTGAAAGTTGACAGAGCAAAATCATTTTCTACACAGCAGTTCATACACATTTTGTTTCATGACATTGGCTGCAATCCCCATAATGTAACAACTCTCTTCCCACTTCTTCCCTGTAATTACCTCTTCCCTGTGTCCTTCTGCCCCTGCACTCCTGCCCCCTGAGCTGTCTCCTTGTGCAAACACTGCCCCTCTGTTCTCCCGGGATTGATTGCTCTAAGCGGTGTATCTACCTGTTGTAAATGTTCACCCTCTATGCCTGTCTTTTGTTTGGCCAGAAGCCACAGGAGTGAGTTCAATTCCAGGCCCGAAAGGTGACTGGGGCCAGTCTTGGAGGTTGCACCATAATTGAGTTTTTTCGTATAGATTTTTTTTAACCACCTGTCTCTGTACTTGTTGAATTTTCCTCTCTGGGCCTCATGATTTCAACCTGATCTCACTCCTCTCTCTGCCTCTCTTTAGAACTGAGCATGCAGAATTCAGAGAGTGGATCCGAGTCACCAGCATCTGTGACTTTGCGTCCGTCGGTGGCAACCCCGGCATCCGGGGCCCAGCCCGTGCCCGCCTCACCACAGGTAACAGAACAGCCCAGCTCTGTGGCCCAGGTGCCCCAGGGGAGATCCCGTCCACCCACAGTGCTGAATCACTCTTTTGGGTGTTAAAAAGACAGAGAGAGTTACATGGGCAGTACAAACAACAAATATGAACCCCTTTGCAAATACAATACTGAGTTGTCAATGAAAGCAAACATGGGTATAGGGACGGATAGATGGATGAACAAGCTAAACAATTATGTATGTCTAAATGAAGAGTGTATCCAAGATCATATACAGGGTTGGCAGACAATGGGCCTCTCAGGGTGCAGAAGAGTATGAAGGGATGGACACTGGGAGGAGGTAACTATGGGGAGGAAGTGGGAGGGGAGCTGCTGCATTGTAAATTTTGGTCAATGACATGAGACAAAGTATATGTGAACTGCTGTATGAAAAGTGAATTTACTCTGTAAATCTTCACCCAAATCCTAAAAAAAAAAAAAAAAAAAAAAGTGCTATGAGGGAAAAAAAAAAAAATGCTGGCATTGGTAGAGATAGATAGTAGTTCTGGTGGCACAGTGGTTAAAGCATTGGGCTGCCAACTAAATGGTCAGTGATTTAAACCCACCAGCTGCTCCAAGGGAGAAAGATGAGACTTTTTGCTTCTGTGAAGACTGACAGCCTTGGAAACCCCATGGGGCGGATCTGCTCTGTCCTGTAGGGGCGCTGTGAGTCAGAATTGACTTAACAGCAGCGGGTTTGGTTTGGGCTTTGGCTCTGTAAAGATTGACAGCCTAGGACACCCTACAGTGCAGTTCTACTCTGTCCTCTAGGAGCGCTGTGAGTCAGAATCGACTTCATGGTAAAGCATTTGGTTTTGGTGGCAGAGAGAGAACTCTCCATTCTTCTGAATTGACTTATCCGCCCCAAGACAGCTGCGATGGGACCAGCCATGTCTCTTATTTTGCTTCTTCACTATTTGTTAAGTAAATCCCACCCAAGGAAAGATGGTCTGAAAATAAACCATGCCCCGGAATCCAACTTAGCTTATGCTTCTTGTGTGTGTGTGTGTGTGTGTGTGTGTGTGTGTGTGTGTGTGAAATAAAAACATATACAACAGAACTTTTGCCGTTCCCATGTTTTTTCACATGTTCAGGTAGGTCAGTGACATAAACGACCATGTGCAACCAATGCCACTATCCATTTCCATACTCTTCTGTCTTTCCCTACCTTTTCATGGCCGTTTTCTCGTACCTTGGAAATGGCCCTCAAATCCAGAAATGCATTACAGATAAGAAAGCAGGAAATAAGTTAGAATTCTTCGAGTTTAGTGCAGAATGGAATCTAACGTTGGAATGAGTATGTTCTGTAAAATTTGCAGATAGATAGGCTTCCGTTCGGGCCCTCCCTACCTCCGGATGTCTGCCATGAATTACAATAAAACATAAAGTAGACAGACAGAAGCAGAAACGGAATCCCGGGGGAACAGAAACTCGAAGGAGTCAGCAAGGATTCCCTGTGACCGTATGACCACCGACGATTCACCAGCAGCAATCTAAAAATTAGGAGCACAGCGAAAGAAAAGATGAAGGGCAGAAAAACGTATTGGCAAAAGGGCAGACGTGGAAGCAGCTTCAGTCTCGGTGGGCAAAGGGCTTGCACTCCACTGCTGCCCTAAAGAAGGGCCCTGGTGGCACAGAGGATGAGTGCTCGCCTGCTAACCTAAAGGTCAGCAGTTCTGACCTACTGGAGCTCCACAGGAGAAAACACCCAGCAATTTGCTCTCGTAAACATTACAGCCCAGGAATCCCCGTGAGGCGATTCCACTCTGTCCTATGGGGTCACTACGAGTAGGAATCAGCTCGAGGACATGCAACACCACCTAACCTAAAGGTCAGTGGTTCAAATCCACCCAGCAGCACTGCGGAAGAAAGGCCTGGCAGTCTGCTTCTAGAAAGATTACAGCCATGAAAACATCATGGAGCGGTTTTACTCTGTAACATGGAGGTTGCCATGAGTCAGAATGGACTTGAGGCAGTGGGTTAGAAGCGGTTGACTCAAGTCAGAATGTACAGTACAACTTTAGCTTTTGTTCAAATATGGCAGCGGGGGCCGGGGGAAGGGCTTGGAGGTCCCTCTGAGCGAATGACCAGACTCTTCCCGCCAGCAAGTCCTGGCCTCACTGAACTTGTCCTCATCAGCCCTCCGGGCCGCTACTCCCTCGGTCCTTCTCCCAAGGCCCTCTCTCTCAGGCACTTCCTGGGCCTGGGTGGGCTCTGTGTCCCTCTCCGGTAGCCAAAGCAGGGCTTGTCCCAATGTCTCTGCCAAGGCCATTGCGCCCACCCACGGTGCCATCAGGCAGCCCCTGGCAGAGGTCCTTCCAGGCGCCCACCCTCCCTGGTGGCCTCCACCTGCCCCCTGACACACACGCACACACACTTTCTCTTCCTCCCTCACCAGGCATGCAATGTCTGTTCCCTACACTAAGCCTCCTTCCTCAGGACGCCCTTCCTTACCAGCTCGGCCCTCACCCACAGGCCACATGGCTTCCTGACAGGACCACTCAATCTGGCCGGCCAACTCCTTAGTACCCAGTGCCCAGCTCAGCTGCTGTGAAGACAGATGCTCTTTTGCTGGTATCACTAATACTGCTTTTGTGTTTTAATTATGTTCCTTGAACACTTAGAGGGCAGTGTGGGAGTGTGATGGGAGTGGGAGTTTATGAACTCAATTATTTAGAAAAAGAAGCATTGCGTATTACATAGTCACCCCAGCTGTTAGGTGCCCTCAAGTGGATTCTGACTCTTGATAACCCCATTGGATAGAGTAGAACTGTCCCAGGGCACTAGAAGCTCTCACTCCTCTCTGTCAAGAAATTTAGAAGACAGAGACTTGGCCGACTGACTGAAAGAGATCCATATTTGTGCTCGTTGCAAAGAAAGGTGATCCGATAGAATGTAGAAATTATCAAACAATATCATTAATATCGCACGCAAGTAAAATTTTGCTGAAAATAATTCAGAAATGGTTGTTGCAGTACATCAACAGAGAGCTGCCAGAAATTCAAGCTGGACTCAGAAGAACGTGGAACAAGGGATATCATTGCTAATGTCAGATGGATCTTGGCAGAAAGCATTTAATGACTGTGCAAAGACATGCAACTGTGTGGATCGTAACAAATTATGGATAATACATGGAACCTGTACATAGACCAAGAGGCAGCCCATTGAACAGAAAAAGGTGATACTGCATGGTTTAAGATGCAAATAATCTGGGAAGCTGGACTATATGAAGAACATGACATTGGGGTTGGAGGAAGACTTGTTAACCACCTGCAATATTTGGACAACACAACCTTGCTTGCTGAAAGTGAAGATGACTTGAAGCACTTCCTGATGAAGATCAAAGACTACAGTCTGCAGTGTGCATTATACCTCAACATAAAGAAAATAAAAGTCCTCACAAATGGACCAATAAGCAGCATCATGATAAATGGAGAAAAGATTGATGTTGTCAGGGATTTCATTTTACTTGGATCCACAATCAATGCCCATGGAAGCAGCAGTCAGGAAAGAAGATATCATATTGCACTGGGCAGATCTGCTGCAAAAGACCTCTTTCAAGTGTTGAAAAGCAAAGATACCACTTTGAGGACCAAGCCGTGTTATTTTCAGTCACCTCATATGCGTGCAAAAGCTGGACAATGAATAAGAAAGACTGAAGGAGAATTGATGTCTTTGAATTATGGTGCTGGTGAAGAATACGAAATATACCATGGACTGCCAGAGGAGCGAACAAATCTGTCTTGGAAGAAGTATAGCCGGAATGCTCCTTATAAATGAAAGTGACAAGACTTTGTGTCACATGCTTTGGACATGTTATCAAGAGGGACCAGTCCCTGGAAAATTACATCATACTTGGAAAAGTAGAAGGTCAGCCAAAAAGAAGACCTCAACGAGATGGATCGACACAGTGCTGCACGATGGGCTCAAACATCGTGCCGGCTGGGAGGCTGGCTGGACTGGACAGCGTTTTCTGTTGGACATGAGGTCTGCAGGAGTCAGAACCGACCCGACAGTACCTGACAACAACAGTCTTTACAGGGGCAGATTGCCAACCAAGTCTTTTCTTCCATGGAGCTGCTGCTTCAAACCATCGACCTTTCAGTTAGCAGGCAAGCACTTAACCACTGCGGCACTGGGCTCCTTAGAGTCCCATTACCAGCGACATTTAGGGTCCCCATTGAAAAAAATCACAGGATCACAGTCAGGCTTGCAAAGCCCCAGCCGTTCAACCACACAGCCCTTCTATTGCTCTCTTGGCTTTGGGTTGCATTTTAGTCCTGCACGTTTTCATAGCTTTGTTCACATAGTTAGGACAAGGGCTAACCAGCACACTAACCAGGCCACCCTGTGAGGACCTGGCTTATGAGACCAGCGATGGGGCTGGCGCAAGGGGCTTGGAGCCCAAAAACCTGGATGGAGTCCAGGTTCTGGAAATCTATTTTCTGAGGCTATAAGGAGTTCCTTAACCACTCCACGTCATTGTCCCTCGCGTGGAAGATGGGGGCATGTCCAGTGTGGACTGGAAACTGGGAGGTGCCATCGAGTGCTGTCCAGGGGGAGATGGTATAGATGGTTTTCCGGCTGCCTCTCCTCACACAGCTGCCTCCCCCCATCGCCCCGTGACAGGGCCTCCTCACAGACTGAACTATCTAGGAAAAGCTGCCTGGCACCAGTGGGGCACACATGCTTCTGTGTGAGTGAGAGGGAGTCTGTGTGTCTGTGTGTGAGTCAGTGTGTCTGTCTGTGTGGTGAGTGAACGTGTCTGTATGTGTGAGTCTGTGTGTCCATGTGTGAGTCTGTGAGTGAGTGCGGGTCGGCCTGTGTGTGCACGGTGCATGAGGTGAGTATCCGTGTGCGTGCGTGCATGCGTGTATGGTGTGCACATGTGTGACACATCAGCCCTGACACGGCACCAATGCAGCAGGCAAGCAGCAGCTCTGGTTGTAACCCCTGTGTGTTGACGAACGACCTCTGACCTTCTCAATGTCCTTCTCACCCCTTCCCTTCCAGCGGGTGTTGGTCCAGGCAGCGGGCTCCACACCCAAAGGGGCCCAGATGCAGCCGATCTCCCTCCCCAGGCTACAGCAGGTGCCACAGCAGGTAAGGACAGCCCCACCAAGCCCAGCCTGGCGATGGTGGTTGGGTGCCATCAAATCGACTCCGGGTCATAGCCACCCCATGTCACAGAGTAGACTGCCCCGCAGGGTTGTTTACTCGTGTGTTTATTGATTGTTGTTGTTGGGAACATACACCAGTTCAGCCATTTCTCCACAGACAGCTCAGTGGCGTTGACCATGTTTCCCAGGCTGTGCTACTGTGCTCATCCTGCTTTTCCCAGTTGTCCCTCCCCCACGCGCATCAACTCAGGTCTTTCTTTTATAGGCTCTTCCCCGTGGAGCATTCTTTTTTTATTATTTATTTTTTTTATTGTGATTTGGGTGAAAATTTACAGAGCAAATTCACTTTCCATACAGCAGGTCACATACACTTTGTTTCCTGACATTGACTACAATTTCCCACAATGCAACAGCTTCCCTCCCACTTCCTCCCAACAGTCCCCTCTTCCCTGTGTCCATCCCTCCATGCCCTCCTGCCCCCTGAGCTGTCTCCCTGTGCATAAACAGCCCTTCTTTCTCCCATGATTGTTCTCTCCAAGGAATATATCTACCTCAGGTAAATGTTCAGCTCATATGCCTGTCTTTTGCTTGGCTGGAAGCCACAGGTGTGGGTTCAATTCCAGACCTGAAGGGCAGCTAGGGGCCATAGTCTCAGTGGTTCCACCAGGCTCTATCAGACCAGAAAACCTGGTCCCCTTTTTTTTCCCCAAATGATTTTGAGTTTTGTTCCACATTGTTCTCCTTCTCTATCCAGGCTCTCCTACATAGATCCCCCTCCTAGTGGTTGACAGTGGTAGCCAGGCACCATCTAGTTCTTCTGGTCTCGTAGTCGTATAGGCTGAGGATCGCATGGTTTGCCAGTCGCTGGAACTAATTCTTTCCATGAATCTTTGATTTTCTTCATTCTTCTTTGCTCTGGACGAGGAGAAATCCATCATTGCATCTAGATGGCTGCTTGCAGGCTTTTAAGATCACAGTCACTACTCACTAGAGCAGGAGGTGGAACAGTGTTTTGTATGGTATGTTATGCCACTGAGCTTGATGTCCCCGTGGAGCGTTCTTGCCGTCATCTTTACAGGAGCAGATCCCCAGGTCTTTCTCCTGCAGAGCCGCTGCGTGGGTTCAAACCACCGACCTTTCAGTTAGCAGTTGGGCACTTAACCATCGCGCCACCCAGGCTTTATCGGCACGCAGGTAGCACTGCACAGTCCAGAGTAGTCTCTTAGCAACAAGTCCTTTTTTGTCAGTGCTGCCCCTTTTGGTTTGATGTCTTCCATTTCTCACCCAGCAGATTTTTCTGGTAGCTACATAAAAATATGTACATACATACATACATCTGTTACTGTGCATAGTTTCACAATAAGCCAAGAAAGCTGACGGCCTTCCGTTCATTCATAAATTCTGCAAGGACTGGTGAGCAAGCCAACACCCAGGGGCACCGACAGACTCACAGACAGACAGCACGGGTTTCCGGATTGCAGAAGAAGGAGCGTGCTGGGGAGACTGATTCACACACCAGCACTGCACCCCCAGATGGGTGCCTCTTCCGGAATTAACTTATAGAACAGTAAAGCTGGAAAGCTTGAGCCAACTGTCATCAGGTCGTCAGTTTAAACAAAGTGTGATCTGTAACTGCGGTCCACAAAGCTTTCCTACAATAAAAGGCCACAGAGGAGGTATTTTTGGCTCTGCGGGCCAGAGGGCCTCTCTCCCAGCCACTTGCCTCTGGTGATGTTTGGACAGCAGCCACAGAGGATATGTAATGAGTGGGCGTGGCTATGTGCCAATAAAACTTTATTTACAAAAATGGTGGGCAGGCCAGATTTAGCCCAAGGGCCAGAGTTTGCAGACCCCTGCTGTGTGAGATGCTGTATTAAAATTAATCCAGGCTCCTGCCCAAAAGGAACCAAAAGTATCATACAGAGATGGCCCAGACCAGAGAATGGGGGTCTCTCACCAAGGGGCCTAGATTGGTAGCAGCTTAGAGGTGTTTCCATGGCAACTGTGTCAATGAGAACGGGGAAGATTTGCAGGGTTATGAAAAGCAAAGGCTCAGGCAGACCCAGCAAGGAACCAGGCTTTCAGACCAGGCCCCAAACCTTACTTCTGCACTCATCTGTCAGGTGACATCTTGAGGGAGGAAGGGGACACTTAGGCCACTTGTGACTCCAGAAGCTTCCCTGCCCCCAGGGGCTAAGCCTGCTTCAGCTCTCTCTGGGTGACTCTGTGTGTCACCTGGCCCCTTGCCTTTGATTTCCTCCCCTGGGGACACCACCCCACGTTTCTAGAACTTTCTCCTAGCATGCTTGTTGTTCTAGGGAATTGGACCAGTGCAAACCGTGGCTGGGTATCCTAGCAGGTGGCATCAGCCCTGTCCTGCAGCCCCAAGTAACAGCTTTCAGGGATGGCCATGGTGAGACTTGGGCATAGTCAACGTGCCAGCCTTCGACTTCCTCACCCTAAAATTAGGCTGAATTGTGCATCCATTAAGATTCCCTCTGCTAGGAAGAAGGAGAGACAGGAATAGAAGGAGGAAGCGGAATGGGTGGCTAATCGCCTCCAGGAACAGTGACTCCTTTGTTTAACTGGATGGTGCCCAACTACTATTACTGAATGTTTTGATCAAGGATTCTACGGAAGAATCTTGATCAAAGGGGGGACAATGCAGAACAGAATTCCAAATTCTCATAGCGTCCAGAGTTTCAGGAGCCATTGATAGGGGATGAACCCTAGAAACAATTGCCCTGAGATAATCTTTAAACTTTAAACCAAAAATATCCCCTGAAGTCTTCTTTAAACGGTAGTTAAGCTTAATTAGTCCAGAATGTCTGCCTTGAGCCCTGGGCTCTTGTAAGAACTGTCTACATGGGATCCAACTGACAACAGCAACTGCAAAGAGCAGCTAGCAGAAGGGGGTGAGAGTGGGTGTGCAAAGTGAAGGATGCCATCACTATCACCGGATCCCACATGCAGAAAGCCTTGGCATATGTTGTGCTGTGGATATTCCCAACAACAAAAGTAAATGAAAAGGTTTTCTCTGCTGTGATGTTTGGAGGCTCTGCACACAGAGGGCTAGGTTTCCAGCGTCCGCCCGCAGTCACTCACCGGGGCCTTGAACTGCCTTTCAGACCATGCGGGCCAGAGGCCGAGGTTCCTCCCTAGCCCTCCTCTCCCCGTCTCCCCACTCAAGCACCATGCAGCCTTCCACCTCTGCTCACACCTTCACACCCGAGTATGACTCTGAGGACCCCTGCCCCTGCCAGGGAGGGGCACCAGGGCCCCCACATGGAACATCGGGGGGCCATGTGGAAGAAAATAGCTTGACCCCTCTTTCCTGGCGGGGGTTCATACTCCAAGGGTCTGGTTCTGTCCTCGACTTGGGCTTCCGGTCCAGCAGGGTCATGCCCTCTGCCCCCAGGGCTGCAGGCCCTTTGCCCTGTAGGCTGTGGCCGTCGGGAGTCCAAGCAGAGAGGGCAGGCCAGGGGAGGTGAGTGTCACTGCTCCACGCTGTCGGCTGGCGCTTCTCCCCAAGCTCCCCGGACCGCTAGACCGGCTTAGGATGGGAGCTATCATTGTCTCCTGCTGCCACACATACAGGCAAGGGGCCCCATCTCCCTCATGTCCTGTGGAGGAAATGAACCACTGCCACAGAACCGCGCATGGCTGGCGACGGGAGCCACAAGACTCTGGCTCATGCCCAGTTCTCTTACCATTTGAGCTCACATGGATTGTGTAGCCTTTACTGTCTTGGCTGCTAACCAAAAAGTCAGCAGTTCAAACCTACCCAGCGGTTCCACAGGAGAAAGACCTGGTGAGCTGCTCCCGCCTAGGAAACCCTACAGGGCAGTCCTGCTGGGCCACGTGGGGTCCCCGTGAGTCAGAATTGACTCAGTGGCACCCAACACCACCACCACTGTCTCTCCTAGCTTCTTTGTAGAAGGACTGACTGTGGGCGGGGAAAGCTACAGCTTAGTATTTACTAACCACGCATGAAGGGCAGAATAAGACGTTCTCAGGGAGACACTGGAAAGACACTGGGACAACGTGCGCTTTTGTTGCAGGTCCAGCCCGTGCAGCATGTCTACCCGGCTCAGGTGCAGTACGTGGAAGGGGGTGACACCGTCTACACCAACGGAGCCATGTACGTGTTCCCTCTCCCCCTCCCCTGCTTTCACGACTCCTCCCCCTCTTTCTCTTTGGAGCTTCGTTTGTAAAAGTTTCCCCTTTTATCCACTTGATGGGCATCTGGGTGTTGCAAACGGTGAGTGCACTCGCCTGTTAACCAGAAGGTGGGAGCTTCGAGTCCGTTCAGAGCACCTCGGAAGAAAGGCCTGGTGATCCCCTTCCAAAGAATCAGCCACCGGAAACCCCGTGGAGCCCAGTTCTACCCTGACACACGCGGGGCTGCTGTGAACCGGAGTGGCCTCAGCGGCCGCTGGTCCTAGTCTAGTTCTGTGCAGTTTGATTCCTGGGAGCAGACTCATGTCCCAGCACCACGACAGGGATGCAAACATGTCCTTGTCCACAGAGAGACTCTCACATGCAGCCCCGTTCTGCACTCTTAGAATTCTGGGAGGATCAGCTTCCAGTCGCCAGCATAGACCTGCAATGCGTCCGAGACCAGAGTCTGCAAGTTGGCATTGTATGGCATTTTCATAGGCCGTGACTCATCTTCCATATGTCATGGGCTCCATCTTGGCTGGGGTCCTTTGAAACTCAGAGAAGGCACTCACACCAGAGAGGCCCCCACAGTGAGCTCTCTCTCTGACAGACGGACGGCCTATGCCTACAACCCTGACCCCCAGATGTACGCCCCCAGCAGCGCCGCATCGTACTTCGAGGCGCCAGGCGGTGCCCAGGTGACTGTGGCAGCCTCGTCCCCACCAGCAGTCCACTCCCACAGCATGGTGGGCATCGCCATGGATGTCACGGGGACCCCCATCATCTCCAGCACGGGCGCCTACCTCATCCATGGGGGGATGGAGAGTGCCAGGCACACCCTGGCCCACACGTCCCGGTCATCGCCAGCCACGGTATGTAGGAGGCCCTGCCGGGGCTCCGCGGGGTAGACCATGATAGATTCGCAGCAGCGGCAGCAGCGGCAGCTGGGACAGTGAGTAAGAGGCGAGGAGAGGGCTGCTGCTCTGGGGCTAGCCGCAGGCAGGCCGTGCAGCCCAGGGCGGGACACTCAACCTCTCTGAATCGCATTCTCCCTCAGTAAAAAGAGGAGACTAAATCATATGTCACAGGCTCTTGTGAATATTGAATGTAAGTGAAGCATCTCTGTCACTGGGAGATGCTGCTGCTGCTCTTGTGTCACCAATATGATCAGGAGCCTATTAGAGACTGAGATCGGTCCATCTATATGTAAAAAGCTGGGCTGAATTAAACAAGAGGAAAATTCCCCTGAAGAACTAGACCCAATCCTTCCCACCATGCTCCCATCCACAATGATGATTTACTTGCTTTGAAAATTTTGTTTCCCAAGTGTACTTTTATTTTTCAAAATAACAGAACAAAATGAACCCTTCTTGGCATACAGTCCTATGAATTTTAACACATGTACAGGTTTGTGTGACCACCACCACGGTCAGGAACAACAATGCCATGGCCCAGAAACTGCCTCCTGGTGTTTTTTGTGTTATAACTTCCCCCACCCACCCACCCACCCACCCATGAGCTCTGGCAGCCATCCATCTGTTCTCATCACAATAGTTTCATCTTCTCGGGAATGTCATCTGAGTGGAATCATATGACATGTAACCTTGAGACTGGCTTCTTTCACTCAGTATGGTGCCTTTGCGATTCACCCAAGTCATTGGATAAATCAGTAGTTCATTCATTTTTGTTGCCAAGTAGTATTCCATCCACCCGTTGAGGGACATTTGAGTTGTTTCCAGTTTGGGGGCAGTTGTGAATCAAACTGCTGTAAGCATTCACCTACAGGTTTTAGCATGCATGTGTGTTTGCCCTTTTTGTGTGGGTATCTAAGGTGGGCTTGCTGGCCTATACAGTGAGTGTATGTTTAACTTCAGAAGAAATCACCACAGTTTTCCTGAGTGGTTGCATCACCATGGTTCCCTCCAGCAACATAGGAGAATTCCTGTTGCTCCACTTCGTTGTTGTCAACACTTGGTATTGTCGGTATTTCTCACTTTAGCCATTCTAATAGGTGTGCAGAGGTTCCTCTTAGGGGTTTAAATTAGCGTTTCCTTTATAGCTAATGATACTAAGTGGCTTTTTGTTTGCTTATTTGCCTTCCAAATTTGTTCTTTGGTGAAGTTCAACTCATTCTGCTGTTTTTTAACAACTGGGTTTTTTGTTTCTTATTGTTGAGTTTTGAGAATTCTTCATATATTCTGGATACAAGTCCTCTGTCAGACATGTGATTTGCAAATATTTCCTTCAAATCTTTAGTGTGTCATTTTATACTCTTAAGAATGTCATTGGCAGAATAAAAAAAATAAT